TTTCATTTGAAGCCATGAACTTCACTAGCAAAAAAAGTGTAGTGACATCTGCTAATAGGATTCTAATTTCAAATTATGAGCACTGGGCCGGATTCTGTTCTCATTTACATCGAAGCATAGTAATTGAAGCTCCTTCAGGTAGCTAGAAAAATAGGGTTAATTATATCCCTAATTATACTTCTATTTTCTGCTATTTTCAGTATTATTAAAGCTTTTTCTAAGGAACAGGCAAGAAAAGTAAAGCATGTTTTCCCAGAAACTTTGCATATCCTGTACTGCTTCCCAGGGAATGAGGTGGTCAAGCCCAGGCATACTTGCATAAAGGTGACAGCAGTGACAGAATTAACACATTGAATATCCTCTAACACCGTTCTTGAGATTAGATTCAGGATATAATTTTTCCTGCCACAAAATGGGCTAATCAGGATAGTTTATAGATCATAAAAAAATAAATGTGGTCACTACCACTTCTCGTTGCACCATGTTTTGTTTAGCAGTTCTAAAGAACTACAAATATTTTGAATTTCAGAAATATATGAAAACCTGAGATTATGTGCAGCTTTATAGACTTATGACCGTATTTTCAAAGGGTTCTTTAAAAATGTCTGAAAAATGTGCAAGCGCAAACACATACTTATAAGTGTGATTACCTATTCTGTGAGTTGATTACCTTTTCCATGTGACTGCCTGGTTTTGGCTAATTTGGCAATCCTTGTGTCAACGAATTCCAACTGACAGCATCGATAATTTAGTCTGTACGAGGACTGCAATTTAGCTCCTTTGAACATGAAAGTACCTCTTTGTGAATTACTGCACTTTCACATACATGCAGCAAATAAATACTCTGGTAAAATTTATGGGACATGCATGTAGATGCTCCTTTGAAAGTTTGGCTGCTAACATGACTGAAGTCAGTGCTGCTACCTAAACTGAAAACAGGTTTCTTTTTAGAATGTTTTTTCTATCAAATTTAGACTCATTCCAGACAGCTAGACCAGTGATATAGAACATCTATGGAATTTTCAAATAATTTTTTTTTTTTTTTTGCTCTTCTTATGCTTGGCTAGGTACCTTTTGCTTTGAGTACACAGATTCACTATCCACCTGTTTGTCTTCTCTTGAGAGGCATTGTGCCTCTGTAGCTTCTTCATCCGTGTGCCAAAGGCACTGCTAGCCACGGCAATAGCTCATTTCTGGGTAGACCATTTCAGATACCTCGTAAGATACCTGATCTAAATAAGGATTCACTGCTGTGCTTCTCTTTTAAACTGCTCCTGGCTCAGTACTGTTTATTTGGATTATCTGGTTCTGTGGAAATTTCCTTTCCAGCTACTTCAGTGTTATTTCTGGCTTTTTGTCCCTCCTCTCCTGAAAAGCGGGCATCTGTCTGAAGAAGGGCTAGGCCTTCAAATACTGATCCTGTGGATTGCTTAATTTCAATTTCAGTCTATGTGGTGAGTATATTTGCTCACATTTCAGCAAACTGGCTCTTTGGTTATGCAGCTAATCAGCACCTTCTGATATGGATGCTCAAGTCAACTTTGTTTACTTGCATTTGTCCCATGAGAATGTGATAGGAAAGTTCTGCTAAAGTAAATTCAGAGACAAAGCTTGGAAGCCTTACATCTGGTGTATACATCTATACAATATTTTATACTGTGTTCTGTTATTTCCTGCACTCAAATCAGGAAAGATAGGGATGGGCAGGAAGACATTCAAGATGCAGACCTGCCTATAATGGAAGTAGATAGTAAGAAAAAGCAGTCTAATCTCACATGCATGTAGTACATATCATGTAGACCACATAACTCAGTGAACCACAATGGCTGTAAGATAAGTAACTTCTCTCCTTCCTTCCTGATCTTTTATCCTCGGAATTGAGCAGCCCAAAAGCCATAGCTCAAATCCCGAGTAAATCATAAATTAATTTGCTGGGGCTAATCCTACTTCTGCAGGTCAGTAAAACATTACTGCAGTTTTGCACAGAAACAGAACTACCAGTTTCTACTTAGGAAGGTATCTCAGTAGTAGGAGAAGGGGGACATCAGTGGTGTTAGAATAAGCAACTCTTGGTAGAGCTGAAGATTTTTCATTCCCCACTGCTGTTGGCAAAGTCTCTACAAACCAGTCTGCTTATCAACTTTTTCCTTACTTATCTGTTCTTTTTCTGTGTCAGACTTTCCCCCATTTTTTTCTCCCTTTGATTTAAGAGGCTCAGTATAAATACTCCTGTTGTAGCAGTCAGTGAGACTTAAGTGCATTTTAAACTTAAGTGTCTTGACAGTAGGTAAATTTTGCCAAAATGGGGCCCTGGTAAGAAGCTTGGGGTGGCATTTGATGGGGAGAGTCAGCAGCCTTGAATGTATCTTTTCATTGTTTGAAATAAAAGAACTTAGATGTAAAGCAGCTCATTCAGGTAGCAGTGGCCTCCAGCGCTTCGGTGGGCTTTGTAGACAGAAGAATTCAAAAGAAAACCCCTCAGCCCAGCTTTAAAGTCTTAGGAATGCTTTCACTGTGGGAAGAAAAATTCTTCAAGGTAAGGCCCCTGTTGGAGCAAAGCCTTTGGAGCTATCTACTGTATGTCTACTTAAATCTAAAAGAAAACCCTTCAGACCACCCACATCTTTCTTTGCTTCATTGTTGTTCTCAGTTTGCTTTTTCAGAGGGATTAGTGCTAGAGTAAACTCCATCGTCTCACTGCCTTGAAAAAATTCAATTTTGTGTAAAGTGAAAATTAGACTCTTAAATCTGCAAAGTGAGCTGTTTATCTTACAAATTTATTCTTTTTTATTGGGCCACACATATTCTAGATAGAAAGATAAAAGGCAAATGGATAACAGGCCATCATTTAGAGTGACATATAGCAAAACATAACTAGTAGGCTTAGTCAGTAAATTCCTCCTGAGTGGCTTGTTAGCTTTATCTATATATTTATCTATAATGCTGATATAGTATTTATTGAAAACCAAAATAAAATCCTGCAGTTTATCATCATTCAGTCTGGTTTTTGCACTTCAGAAAAATCTTTTTGCACCCAGGAATTAATTTTTTCCTGAAGCAGCTTGAGATATAGCTATATGCAACTTTTGAGGATACAAAAAAAAAAGGAAAATCTGAACTCTTTAGGAAGCCTGGAATTATAAACTAGAACCTATATGTGTGTTTCTGGACTCTAGAAGACAAAATAAACTTCTGCAGTATGTTACTTTACATACTTGTGAATAATTCAAAATGACAGTTACTAGATTTCTAACTTAAATATTGTGCTTCAACTATGCAGTCTAAGAACAATCAGAAAATGTTAAACAAGAATTTGATGTGAAAACTATCAGATTTTACCTTTTAAAAATTAGCAATAACTTCATTACATGCATGACTAAGAAGAGAATTTATATGTATGTATAAATCACGGTATTATGTCCTTCTTTCATCTTTAAGTGAAATAATTTAGAGGAACCATTTTATAATAAATAATGAAACGCCTGTTAGTGTTACCTTTTCCAGTGATGTGGGTATTTGGGTCTCTGCTACTGTGTGAATAGTTTTGGTTTGAGCCAAAATGTTTAAGTCTTTCTCATGTCCCATCACTTCCATTTAAAAAGCAATGCTGTGTAAATTGCACTATGTTTCCTGACAGCTTTAGTTACATGTCAAATGGGTAAAGGCAGAACGTTTTTAGTCAGTAGTTCATGGTTGAAATAATCAAGCCTCTGCATGCTGATTTTCACTATATGCTCTCCACCTCAAAAGAACCCATACAGCTCAGCTTTTACACAGGGGTCTGACGATGTGCCCACGTGTATGGCACTCTGAGGCATGCCAGGAGTATAAATCTGGTTCAGGATGTCAACATTTGCCATGGTACCTTTTTGTGAAATTGTGAACTGATATGTATATATAATATTATGTGTCCTTCTAAGTACAAGTGAGTCTTGGGTGGTTTGAATAATGACTTGTTTAAAGTGCCCTACATTTTTGCAATTTTTATGTCATTCTTTTGTAAGTTATTTTGTTCCTAGCCTGCTTGCATAATAGCAGCCTGTGCAAGATAGCTGAGAATGATTGTTTCTTTATATCTAGAGAAAGACGTTCTGGAGTCTCACCCCTTGTGTTGCGATGCAAAGAATAAGTGTAGCTGTAAACACTGAAGGAGGAAACTCAGGAGCTGTGTGTGAGAGGGAGAAGGAATTCTCCTCATCTGACCAATTTTTCCATTGCCTTTCCCATAATATTAGGTCACGCACTAGGCTGTGTGTTGTAGCTCCAGTGCTGACCTGTTGCAGAGGAAAGTTGGTTAGCTTCCTTGCAGTCATCGCCACCGCTGTTGGAACTCCTGCCACTGCAATCCTCTTGTTTTAATATACTGATGCAAACTTTTTTCCTCTTAAAACATACAGGTTTTCGCAATACTTATAAATTAAATAGATTCAGCAAAACAACAATCTCGAACTTTTCTTTTTAAAATTAATAGGAACTAAGCAAAAGAAGAAATAAAACCAGCTGCTGACACAGCTGTTTCTTTTCTTGTATAATTCAGTTCAATATAAAGGTACCATATGCTGCTTAAAATGATGATAGGAAAGATGAAATAATTTAAGACAATAACAAGAAAATACAGAAATTGTCAGCATTCTGTCAGATTTAAAGAATGAAATAGACAGGTGTAGTATTGACATGTTTAACTTTGTGTTGCGTTAGCAGTTTTAGCGAGAACAACTTCTGACATGTGCTGAAGTGATGTGAGAACATTTCTGTGTTGCAGACATTGGAGAAGAAGCTGGGAGATCTGTAGGAGTCCAGCAGCCAGCTTTACTGAGAGACAGGAGCCTTGGTTCTGCCATGAAAGACTGCCCATATTGTGGAAAAACTTTCAGAACATCACATCACTTAAAGGTCCACTTGAGAATACATACAGGTGAGAGGAACGAGTGAGCAGAGCGCTGTCAACATGCTGTGTGTGTGTGGGGGGGTTAATGTAATATGTGGCTAGGAGCCTTAATTCCCAATGTAGATTTGGGCTCATTAGTTGGAGAAAGTCGTTTGAGAAAGATATATGACAGTCTTAAATAAAAGCACAAGGAATGTGTTGTTGGATAAAGACTACTATAATAGAATCATCTTTTCCCAGTTGAGGTTATTTCTGTCTCATTCCCTGCTTCATCACTGTTTCCTTCAATTACCCTTGTCCTTCAATAGCATAAGCCTGTTGGTTTCAGACTTAGTTATAGTAACTGCTTCAAAGGCCTTCCTTCACATCTGCTTAGGGATTCTGTATGTTTTTCTCAGAGTTACTATTTCTTCCATTTAGCACGCTCATTTTTAATCTCTCACTGTTCATATGAATGCATCAGCTTCATGGATCTGCCTGTTTTTTTATTTATTTATTTTCACTAGAACTCAACCAGCTTAGTACCTGTAAGTAGTAAAACTTACCATGTTTTATTTTAGGAACAGTCACAGCATTTCTACCCTACAGAGACTTACTGCTGATCTGGATTCTCACTTTATGTCACTCTTTGGGTGGACTGCTCTCAATACTAGTAAAGCATCCCACTCCATTTAAATGAAAATACCTTGTTTGATTAAAAGTATGTATGTGCATGGTAAAGTTCACGTAGAGACACAGTGTATGTTTAAGAAGACTTATCCGTAGTTAAAATCTGACATACAGTGTTGATATCCATCCAGTTTGTGTCCAGTATGATACAGTTTTCTTCCAAGACTTAGGCATTGTGGTAGGCTTTGGGATAGTATGCAAAACTGGACATTTAGGAGCCTTCTCTTTGGAAACAGACATAGTGAACACTGTAATTATGAAGTCACTCTCATTTTAAACCATTTAAAATTAATTTCAGAATTTTCCTGCTGCTTTTCTAATTGATAGATAAAATAAATTACATGAAGAAATACATTCCAGTTCTATGTCCACCTTGAAAAACTCCACTTTCACTGAAGTACCAGATAAGCAGTATTTTCTTCCCTTCCCAAAATAAGCAGTCATGTTTCCCCCCATGTGCTTGCACATATATAATATACTTAATATTTGGATTGCAAATATAAGGCCTGATTTAAAAAAAATTGAAAATGAAGGCTGAAAATTATTTGAAGAAAAACATATCACTGTTAAGATGTGAAAGTTCATTCATTATATTTTTTTTCTTCTTTTCCTTGAACTGTGGATTAGGAGTATATATGCCACACTGGTTTGATCTGAATTTTAAAATTTGGCACCCTAAGATAGTTTTGTCTGATTGGATTACATGGCAGGAATATTCTTTCCCCTGTGATGGACTTTGTGAAAACCCTATTTATGTGCTCTATTTATGTGCTTCCTAGTGTAATAAAAGTAAATAAATGGTAGTTGTTTTATTGGAAATCTTGTAAATATTAGTTTTAAACAGTTTGACATTTTTACTGTCGGTGAAGAAAAGGAAAATTCTTTAAAATAACCTGAGGATATCCACCTCTCCCCTTTGCTTTAATATATAGTGGTCATTTTGTTCTTGTTTTAAAGATGGTAGCAATTATGCATTTGGTATTCGTGGCTTCGAACTAGTAGAAAGTAAATTAACTGCAATGGAAATAGTCCATGAAACTTGCATATTAAAACTGACTAAACAAAATTAAAACAAGAAAAAATAAACCATATATAAAATAACAACAAAAAAGAAAACATCATTGAGACTGTTGAAACAACATTCGGAATATATTTAAAAACCATTATCTTTTAAAAATAGATAAAGATCAATTTCCATTAGGTTGAGAACAAAATATTAGTAAATAACGAGAAGAGTATGTTTAAATGGAGCAATATTTTACATATTGGAAATAATCCTAATAAATATTATAAAAATGTAAATTGCCAAATTACTAGAGTTATTAAATAGAAATTAAGTTGCTTTGCAGTAAATGGAAATGATGTAATAGATACCAGTTATTAAACAAATACCAGTTACTTCATACCTACCAGGGACAGTTTCCTGCCTTTTACGTCACACTGCTTTTATTATATGCCTGGATCATATAACTGACTGGTAAAAAACACTTTACTGTGTTTCTCCACTACATTAACTCAATTACCGTTCTTGTTCTCACAACACCTGTTTGTTAGAGATGAGCTCAAGCAGTTCAGCAGAAGTCGGGTTCCTTTGAACATCTGTGTGTTTGGAGGCACATGAGTAGGTTGGTTTGGTACGCATGCCAAGGCAAGACCCAATGTCTGATCCAGCCAGGAGGTGTTTCTGTGGCACTTGGCCCAAAAAGGCTAGAGAAGCTGTTTAATTCCCCAGAAGACAAGGAAACTGCTCTATTTTAGAAGAATTAGCTAGTGTCCTGGGTGGCTTTTTATTTCTGTCAGCTATTTAGTGGTTGCAACCTTCTCCACACTGAGTCTCCATTTCTGTGTAGTTTGCTATCACATAATAAGCCTCTGAAGAAAAAGAAAATAAAATCAAGGTTTTATTTAGCATGTTGAGTCGAGTTCCAACACACAGTTGTAGATTTTTCTTCTTATCTATTTCAATGATATCCAGCCAGGAAGAGCTTTAAGGGGAAGATGGTAAGATATGATTTCTGAGTGTTCCCATATGATAACAAGAAAAGGGCATAATTATGTGAAATTAGTTTCTCCTTTCTTGCTCTAAAAGCAGTTGAAGGACGAGACAGTTCCTTAGTACAGCTCTGGTGACAAGAGAGGAACGATTGTCTGGGCAAAATGCTTCAGAGCCTTGGGGCTTATAAAGGACAGACAGAACTCTTGTAGCCCATCCTAGATGACTTTTTAAAGTTTACCAGTGGATAATGACAGACTGTATGGTCCTATTTCTTCAGGGCTATCTACCTCAACTCACACAACCTCTGTGTGAAGAGATGCAGAAATAAGGCTAAATAATGTGTTGCACCCCTAGCCCATAGTAGACATGTGGGTGGACTGGCCCTGTTGTGATTCAGCTTCCTGCTTATAAGATAGTATATAATAGAGCTGAAAAGTTTATAACACCGAAGACTTTGAGAAAAAGAAAACCATCTAGACATCTCAGCCCCATAATGTGCCATAAGCAGATGCTTGCAGAGTTTCTATTTTTCCCTTCTGGCAGTACCAATTTAAGGTTACTTCATTCAGGGAGCTGAGCAACATCTTTGTGTTCTTAATCACTCTCAGTTCCCTCTGAAATAAAATCAGTGGGTCAGTTTTTAGCTTACATGCCGAGGTCTTTGGACTGCACAGAAGAAATGTAAAAAAAATTTCTTCTGTTTTACCTTTGACAAGGAACAGGTTATGTAGGACACATTTTCAGAGTATCTCTAGCACCTCTTTACACTTTGCATTAGCATTCAAAAGCTACTGCAGACATAGACTAGTTTAGGTTGGTGGGGTCATTAGGTGCTCAGGTGTATTCCCAGTCTGACTGGCACAGTTAAATGCCTTGATTAAGGAAAAAAGAACCTGCATGAGCATAGTAGAGCCCTGAAGAAGGTTTGGGTTGTGCTAAACAAAAGAAACCTAAGAAAGAGGGATAGGAAGAAAACACTTGGCAGGGCTCTGTCCATTGACTGAGAGCATGTTACAATATGTATGACACATCTGAAACAAATTTATTATATACATTTACAGTGTTACTGCATTTTCTCTTGGAAATGTGACCAATTTTAAAAGTTGCTTAGATGAATCAATGGAACACAGTAAAAATGGTGCTGTTTTAAATGAATTCAACTCACATTTTCTTCCTAAAAAACCTGCCTGTTGCCATTGTCTGAAGGCACTTGTAGTGGGATGAGCAGTATGAATAATTAAGGAAAATGGGTATGTGTGCTCCAAGAGGAGACAATTTTGGTATTGAACATCCTTTATTCTTGTATTTCTAAGATGAACTAAAAGGACTTTTCATTTCTCTAGATTTCTCCAGATTTCCCATCCTTAACATTATACAGCATGCCTTTTCTCCTGTCTTAATGACATCCCAAACTTTTGTTGAAAATAATTGATTGAATTTAAATTTCCTTAAAAGTTTAAGAGGTAATGTTACAGTGTAAATTTCCTACCAAACACTAAGTAGGGAAATATCCATTAGTGAAATTAACTACAGTTTCTAGGTAGCTAACAATGTGCAGTATACAGTAGGGCATGGCTAATGAACACTGCAGTGGGTGATATTTCATTATACAAATTAATGCTCACATTTTAATGGGAAAGTCACATAATGAATCTCAGCTTCAGTGACAGCAATTAGAGACACAGATTGTCCCCTTCTGGACAAGGCACTGTTTAGCAATAAGCAGCTGTGTAAAAAGTCTTCAGGTTTACAACATATATATATGCTTTGGGGGAATTAGTGTACAGTTTATATTAATGTACTGAATCTTCCCTGCAAAGTAACAACTGTATTTATCTCTCTGTGTTTTAACTAAGTAAAGACATGTAAAGAGGCTAAATAAATATTGTAGATGAGATATAAATAAAGGAAAATATGTAATTATAAAACTTTATAAAAATTAAAATATTTTATTGTAATGCCTAGGGCACAATTGAAAAATCTTTCATAAACAGAGTCAAAAGCATTACAAGTCTGTCCTTCACAGGGTAGGGGTAGTTTCATCTTATATAATAGAGAAAAACTACTAGTAAAGGAAAGTGGTAAAGACAAGAAGTTAACTAGTATTTCTGACAAACATTAATTGTGTGGTGAAACATGTGCAAGATCCAAAAATAATCCTACAGAACCTTGATATTTCATTTGGTTTAAAAAGTGTGAAGTGAATGATTAGAATGATAAAAGAAATTACTGTGTAAGAATAGGCATAATAATGAACTAATTAAACCATACAGCAATTCATTTCTAAAATATCTGCTGCACAATGGATAAAATAGGTTATCAATAACTGTTTCAATAGTAAAATAAAAAATGCTGGAAAATG